CCCCGCTCCGCCCGCGCCCCGCGCCCGCTCGACTCCGGAGGCGCCCGCAGCCCGGCCAGTCCCGCTTGCCCCCTCCCCGGGGGGCCATGGGGGAGCCCCCGGGCTACCGGCCCTCGGCTTGGGTGTATCTGCTCCACCAGCTGCCCCACACCGACTTCCAGCTCCGCCCGGTGCCCAGCAGCTTCGCTCCCCAGGAGCAGGAATACCAGCAGGTGGGGTCGGGCGCGGGGGTCCTGGGAGGATGGCGCTGCGGGGCCAGAGCCACCGGGTCCCAGGGGGAGGAGGCTGGGTGCCAGATACCTGTGCTCCTGGGCTCAGACTTTGGGGTATCTGGAGGAGGAGGAGCCTGGGTGTGTACCTGGAGATTTACCTAGGAAGGGCTCCCCAGTTCCCTTCTAAGGGGGGTTTGGAGCAGGGGTACGGGAGCTGAGTCCTTGAATGGAAAGGAATCTGGGAGCCCTGGACTCCTGGGTCTCTGGAAGAAGGAGCTGCCTGGGACTTTGGCCTCTAGAGTCTTGGGGGGGGGTTTAGGGAGAGGCAGGTCCACCCTCCTGTGTCCAGAAAGATGACCCCTCCCCCCATAAGATCAGGACAGGTGAATCCGTCCCAGTTATAAGTAAGGACTTGGTAATTGTGGAGAGGAAAAAGGACAGGGGGTGTCCTAGTTCTGGGGAGGGGTTGAGAACCGGGTATGGGAGGTGGGAGGGGAGGGGGGCTGGGAAGGTGCGAGGTGGGTGGGGGGTGGTGGCTGGAAGAGAGAGCACACACACACACACACACACACACACCCGCGCCAGGACAGAGGGGCCAGCGCTAGGGCACCGGAGTGAAGGAGGATGCAAAGATGAGGTTGAGTTTTGGGGGGGTCCCAGCATTTCAGAAATGAGCCCCGGAGGGAGGGGCTGGTGTGGAAACATGGCAGAAGCGCGGGATCCCCGGGGAGGGGGCCCCCCGCGTGGGTCAGCAGCGGTCGAAGCGCAGGGACAGGCCCCTGACCCGGTTTAATTCAAGTCTTTGACTTTGAGATTAATGAGGAGAACGGGCTTTGGAGAGCTGGGAATTGGGGTGGGAGAATTCGGAGCCCTGGAAATAAGTGTTAGGTGCCCCCTCCCTCCTGGAGTATGGGGTCTCTCTTCAGGTGCCCTTCTGGAAGGGGGGATGGAGTTGAGAGCGTGGAAGGAGAGGAGGGTCCCAGAAAAGCAAGGAAGGGGAGGGTGCCGTGCTGAGCTATTTGGGTCACGGCTGACACTGCTGTGAGCGCTCAGCCACCTCCTATCTGCCGCCCCCTCCCCACCCATCCCACCTCCTCCTCCAAACCGGCGGGGTGCGGGTGGGGGAGTCTGGCGACGTGCCTTCACCGGGGCCCCTGCCCTCGCCCACAGCCGCCTGGCCTGCCAACAGCCGCGCGCTCTGCACTCAGGGTGCCCTCCCGGTTACACAACCCCAACCTCCCCAGCGCTCCAGACGCACCGCGGCTCATCCCACCAGACCTCCCTGGTCCCCTGGGCTCGCAGCCAGAGTCACCCCAATTCACCCCAGCCCTGGTCCTGGCAGGTGGGCATCCCAGCAGGTGGACACATGGGGCCAGGGCGTCCCTCCACACCCGAGATGACCACCTTGAGCACAGCTGAGGGGACACACACACTTTTTAACACACTCTGACACACACACTATTCACTGTCACTCCCATACCGTCACTTACACAAGCACACACTCTTAAAACACACACAAACAACATTCCGTCACATGCAAGCGCACAGAAACACCCACATTTGCTCACGCCCGGGCGCACTCACACCTAAGCCACCCACGGATTTGCACACACACTCACATGTTCACTCGCTTGACACATAGACACTCGTGCATATCTGTACCTGAACACACGCCTGTGCTCGCTCAGTTGTGGGCTTGAATCACGTACTGACATGCACATTCAGTGTGCAATCATTATACACACACACATACACGACTCATATTGTTGTTGTTATGTGCCATCGAGTCACCGGCGACTTTGTATACCACAACCGTAAACCCTGCTCTATCCTGTGCCAATTTCACTGTCTCCGACACACCTACCCCCATTACCCCAGTCACTGAATCAATCCACCTCATAGAGGGTCTTCCTCTCCTGCGCTGTCCCTCCACCCTCCCAAGCATGACGTCCCTCTCCAAGGACTGGTCCCACCTTACAACATGTCCAAAGTATGTCAGACGAAGCTTCAGAATCCTTGCCTCCAAGGAGCAGCCTGGTTTAACCTTCTACAGAATGAACCTGTTTGTTTTCCTAGCAGTCCATGGTACCCTCAATACTCTTCTCCAGAACCACAGCTCAAAGGCATCAATTCTCCTTCTATCCTCCCTAGTCATTGTCCAACTCTCTGATGCATAACAAGTGATTGTGAAGACCATGGCCCGTATCAGGCGCACCTTAGTCTCCAGAGTGACACCACTGCTCTTCAGTACTTTGGCTAGGTCCCTAACAGCAGACTTTCCTATCGCGATACATCTTTTAATTTACACATAAACACTCACATGTGGACTCAGTGTGCTCTTTCTGAAACACACTCATAAATTTGCTCACCCTCCACTACAATCCCAGAGGTACACGGTTCAAATCCACCAGATGCTTTGCTGAAGAAGGAGCAATCTCCTCCTGTACCAGTCAGATCTGATTTGACGGTACACAAACACAATAAAGAAAAAATTACAATAAAAAAATTTGTTCACCCTCACACACAGTCACATGTAAACACCCACATACACACCCACGTACATCAGCACTTTTATGCACATACACACATACACACACACACACACTGGCCTGCACCATAAACACACAGTCACACACCCATCCACACATGCACGCAAACACTCAGAAACACTCACATACCTGCACGATGGCTTACTCGCCCCTATTGAAAAACACTCACACATGTTTGTTCCCTCATCCACACGCACACACGCTCGTACTGAGACAGGCACACTCACTCACGGGTATACTCTCCAACACACACAGCAATGTCCCAGGTTCGCTCACACACACACACACACACACCACTTCTCGCACACTCGCGTAGCCACACCTTGCCCTGCCAACACAAACCTGCGGACACACTCACACCCGCAGAGACCCGTCGCTCACAGACACGCTCACACACACGCATAGTGACAGTCACCCCCACACACACACACACACTCTGAAAGCACACGTCACAATTTCATTCGAACTCCCACTCACGCTCACTCCTGCTTAATCACACACATTCACAAGCACTCACCCCACGCGATCATTCAAAAATCACACACTCGTTCACACTCACACACCAGTTCACACTCATGCACACACTTATTCACGCCAATGTAGCACTTGTTCACGCAATCACTCACATTTGCACACTCGCTCACACTCACGCACTCGTGTTCACATGTTCACATGCTAATTCACACTCATTCTCGTCCACGCACGCACTCGTGTTCACACTCACACACTCACTTGTATTCACACTCACTCGTGTTCACACGTTCACATGCTCATTCACACTCATTCTCATTCACACACGCCCTCGTGTTCACACCTGCTCACACTCACACACTTGTGTTCACACTCACTCACACACACACTCGTGTTCACACGTTCACGTGCTCATTCACACTCATTCTCATTCACACACGCACTCGTGTTCACACCTGCTCACACTCACACACTCGTGTTCACACGTTCACATGCTAATTAACACTCATTCTCATCTGCACACTCACTCGTGTTCAAACTAGCTCACACTCGCTTGTATTCACACTCGCTTACACTCACGCACTCGTGTTCACACGTTCACATGCACATGGTCTTTCACACTCATTCTCATCCACACACACTTGTGTTCACACCTGCTCACACTCACACACTCGTGTTCACGCTCACACACTCGTGTTCCCACGTTCACACACCCGTTCACTTTTACACACTCGTTCACGCTCACATACTCTCACACTCCAATTCTCACCCTCCCTCGCTCCCTCACACATCCCATTATAAGGACATGGTTGGTTTGTGTAGTTTTGGGGGGACCCATGTCTTCGAGTCCCAGACGCCTGGGTCTGGGTCTGGATCTGACTCTAACGTGGACCCACCTGGCTGTGGGGCTGAAGGCAAGATCCCGCCCAACTCTGCGTCTCTAGTGTCACATCTCCTGAACCTACAGCATCTACAGTGTACACAGCTCACCGTGGTTCTGCAGGGCACAGCCAGGCTCAGAGAGCTTCCTCCCCGGGTCTCCATGGTTCCCCCTTCCTCTCTGCCCCTATTTCTTTCCCCCCTTCTCATTTCTGGCTCATTTTTTCCTCTTCCTGCGTGTTGGCTTCCCTCTCTCCACCTGCTGGGGTGGTGTATTTTCTGACTCTCCTGTCTCCTACCTCGTCTCCATCATCTAGCCTCTGCCTCAACTCTGCACGTGTTCTTTTGCTCTGTCTCTGTGTCTCTGTCTTGGGCCTCCCTCCCTCTCTGCCTTCCTCCCCTCCCCTCCTCCTCCTCTGTCTTCACTCATTGGAGGACTTACACACCCGCTACAGAATGACTCTTGCTCTCTTTCCACCCCCTCATCCCCTTCCAGGCCCTCCCGTCTCCTTCCTTCTCTCCTCTTCTTCCTCTCACTCACTCTAGCTTTCTGCTTTTCCCCTCCTCCCCCTTCCCCTCTCCATCCCTGAGTACTACACACACAGTCACTGAGGCAGAAGCCACCCTCCCCGGGAGTCCTGAGTGGCAGAGTCACAGCTGTGGTGGGTGGGCTGTGCTCAGCAAGAGGGTTAGAGGGAACAGTGAGTGGGGAAGAGGGGGAGGGAACATGCCTGGAGCAGACCCACCCAACCCACCCCCTGATCTCACACAGCTCTGAGGAACTTCAACAGGTCCCCAGAGCCCCTTCCACCTGCTTGATGGCACTGGGGGGCGGGGGGGGGAACTGAGGCTCAGAGAAGGCACACAGATCACACAGACCCTGGACAGAGAGTAGAACCAGAACCCCAGACTGGACCCTCTGGCTGGAACCCAGCCACCCCCACCCCAAAACCCCACTGTCAGCTTGGGTAGGGCTAGACGCCTCATCTTTTTCCCCACCAGCCCGAATGTCAGGAGATTGGGACTGGGGTACAGTCCCTGAGCTGCCCAGAGATTCAGCTCATCATAACCTGAACCTCCCAGACCAGGACCTCAGTTGTGGGGGTGGATGGGGGAGCTCAGAGCTGGAACCCAGGAGGGCTGAGATGTCCCAAGCCCTGACTGCACCCCCTCCCCCAGGCCCTGCTGCTGGTGGTGGCCTTGGCGGGCCTCGGCCTGGGCTTGAGTCTCATCTTCATCGCTGTCTACCTCATTCGCTTCTGCTGCTGCCGGCCCCCAGAGCCACCGAGGACCAAGAGCCCCCAGCCCGGGGGAGGCTGCGTTACCTGGAGCTGTGTGACGGCCCTTCTCATTGGCTGGTAATGGGGCCCCAGGCCGGGTGGGGGTTGGGGACACGAGGACACGAGTTCTCCAACCTCTCTGCCTACCTCCCTGGGGTTCACCCTCAGACAGACGATCCCTGCTTCAGCACCAGAGCTGGGAGCTCTGTTCCCATCTGCTAGATGGAGAAACTGAGGTGCAGAGGGCTGAAGGGACACCCCCCCTCCCTGTGACAGCCAGCATGCAGGAGAGGGCTAAGAACCAAAGTGAGCGCTCCCGTCTACCTTTGGTGACTGTGTCGCTGAATCCAACCTAGGGGGAAATAATGTATCATCTCTGAGAATCAGTTTGTGCATCCATAAAATGGGCACATTATGTTGCGTCTCTGTAAAAGCCTAACAGGGAGCTCTAGTGGCCCAGAAGGAAAGGAGGTGTTAAAGCAACCCAAAGGCAGCTAGTTTGAATCCACCAGCTGCTCTGAGGGAGAAACATGGCCCATCTCCTCCTGGGTGATTTACGGCCTCTGAAAACCCACAGGAGGGTCAGCCTGTGCGTTGAATCAGCCACATACAGATACGCGCGCCAGTCGTTATCTAGGGATGTCACTCATTCATCCATCCATCCAACAAAAAGTTCATGAGCACCTACTACGTCCTCTGCGTCCATGGAGTGAAAGCGCTTTGGTGGCACTATGATTGAGCTGCTGACGGAAAGACCGAGGGTTCCACTCTCCCCAGAGCTCTGCGGGAGAAAGGTGTGGCTGCTGTCTGCTCCTGTGGGGATTTACAGCCTTGAAATCTACAGGGTGGGTCTCAAAACAGACAAACAGGCAAACTTCCTGCCGTTCAAATCAGAACCTACTCAAAGCCGACTCTCCAGGGGGGTGCTGGGCTTGTTGCTGTTGTTGTTGTTAGGTGCCCACAAGTCAGGCCCTCCATAGCTGGCCTTTCGGTGGGTTTTCAGAGGCTGTAAATCACATGGAAGGAAATTCTCCATCTCCCTCTCGTTTGGGCAGCGAGTGGATTCGAACAGCTTGCCTTTTGGTTGGCAGCGCAGCTCCTTACTAGGGGCAGCTAGGCCCCTTTCTAGTCAAAGAGCCAGTTAGTAATAGAGGATTCACCATCCAAGACCTCCTACTGTGTGCTGGGTCCTAAGCTCATCTTATTCCTTCCTAAAGTGCCCTTGACGGATTCAAGGTTGTCACACTCATTTTGGAAAGAGTATGACTCGGAGAGAGGGAATGTTTTAGGGCCTCCAGGCGACTGAAAAGAGAGAAGGACGATGGACCCCGTTAGCCTAACCCCCCCCCAGGCCCATCTGAACCCAAGGAACTTCCCTGATGTGCCCCAGGAGAGAGAAAGTGGAAATCGGAAGTCACATTATCTAACAAGCACCCATGCCACCCAATTTCACAGCAGCCCTGTCACAGGCCACTGCCCCAGGCCACACATTAGGGCCCTGGACCTCTGGACCCCGCATCTGGGCTAGGGGAGGAAGTGGGGCCCGGCTGGTTACTGCTTCAGCCCTGGGGACACCCTGGAAGCCTCATCCACCCCACCCACCCGAGGCCAGGCTGTGTGCTCTTCTAAGACACACTGTGTGTGTGTGTTTGGGGGTGGCGTGGGGGGCTGGGTGCCCTAGATCCAAGATGCTTTCTCTTCAGGCCCTCATGAGTGAGGGGTGGATGGGGGTGGTGGACAAAGGCCCAGTGGGGGGAGAGACAAGGCCCCAGCCCCCGCTGCCTGTAGACAAGAGGAGCTTTGTGGGGCTCTGAACAATGAGGCGGGGGCGCTGGGGCCTGGCGTCAGATCAGGGTCGGGGGTGGGCGCCCCCCCACCCCCACCCCCACCCCGCATAGGCAGGCGCTGGGAACGCTGAGGGCGACCATCTCCCTCCACCCAGGCGGGCTCTCGCCCCCTCCGCCCGGGACGCGCAAGGGAGGAGGGGGGTGCAGCGGGTATTCAGACCCCACAAAGAGGCCTGTGTGTTGGCTGGGGTGGGACGGGCCGGCTCCTGGCCCAGGCTCCCTCCCACATTCCCCGGCTTCGCTCCCAGCTGGACGGACGCTCTGTCCCACAGAAGGAACGGGAGCGGGGGTGAGGGTGGGGGCGATAGGCTCTGGGTGCCCAGGATATGATGCCTGCCTATGGGTGTCCATCCCACGACGCCCTCAGGTGTCGTGTCGGGGGGCGGAGACTCTGGATACCTGAGGACAGGTGTTAAGGATGCTGGGACTCCTGGGTGGGCAGCAGGGAGAGGCGTGTGGGGCTGACCTCATCGAGAGAAGAGGGCTTCAGCCTGACACAGGCGTGATCGAGTTCCCCTCTGGGGAGATGCGAGTTAAATTTGAGGGCCCCCTCCCCTCCGCCACCACTCCACCCACCATTACCATCACAATGACGTCCCTCGCTGGGGGAGTGAAGCCATCCCGTTACCTTGACAACCGATGGGAGACAGGGCCAGGCCGCTCCTTTCCCACGGCAGGCTGGACCAATGGGGTGGGAGTGGGGGGCGGGATAGGCGCGCACACAGAGGGGGTCGTGGTTCTCCCGGTCCCGGACCCGGTTGCGATTTCTCCTCCCTCCTCCCATCAGCGCAGGCATCGGCATCGGTTTCTATGGCAACAGCGAGACCAGCGATGGCGTGGCTCAGCTCAGCTCGGCTCTGCTTCATGCCAATCACACGCTCAGTGCCGTGGACCACCTGGTGAGGGGCCAGGGGCTGGCCAGACCCCGACCCCACGTCCTGACCCGTGCTCCCACCCCCAGATCCTGGACTCTGCCCAGTCCCGGGCCTCCCAGCCAGTCAGAGCAGCAGGGTTCAGAGCAGAGACTCCAGATACAACCCTTAGGACCCCAGACCCAGGTGTCAAGTTCAGATTTGCATTTGAGACGGTACCCCTAACTAAGATCCTAACCACAAATCCAGTACCTCTGACAAAGGACCCTCGGAACCTCGACTCAGATCAGGAAATTGGGGTTCAAACCCAGATTCCAAGCCCATACCCAGTTCCAGTTCTGGACTTTAAGCTGAGACCTATGCCTTAACCCAGACAAGGACCTCAGGTCCACTCCTGTCCCCCATATAAAGACCCAGGACCCTACACAGCCTCAGGAACCCAGGAACTCCTCCAGAAAAACAAGCTTCAGACCAAAACAGACCCCAGGTACAGTTAGGACCCAAAATATCAAGTTAGGACTTGGATTTGGGACTGTACCCGCCCCCCCAGCCAAGGACTCTTCTACAAATGCAGGACTTTTGACAAGGAACCCACAGAACTTCCACCCAGATCTAGCACTTGGGACTCAAACCCAGACCCCCACCGCCACACACCCAAGTCCAGTTCTGGGTATCAACCCAAGGCTCATACCTCAAGCTAGACCCAGATCAGACCCTGGAGATGCCAGGCGCTGACACAAGGTGAGGTCTAGGGCCATGAACCTAATCCTGACCCTAAACACAGACTCGGGGACCTCAAAGATGAGATTTGGGTCTTAGAAGCCAAAGCTGATCCAATCCCCAGACTCCAGGGATGAGACCTGGCCCAGCTGCAAACTTGAGATTTCATAGCCAGTCTCAGGCCTTAGTCAGCAGAACTCAAACTTGTGATCCTTGATTTAGGATGTGGTCTTCAGATTTAGGACTCCAGACTTAATCTCCGTTTGAAAGCTGGAACCCAGAACTCTAGTTACTGACAATCTGTGGTGGCCTACACATTCTAAGGCTACAGAGCTCCGTACACTTGACCTCAGACCCAATACAGGCTACAGAACTCCATGAACTTGACCTCAAACCCAATATAGGCTACAGAACTCCATGAACTTGGCCTCAGCCTTGATAAAGGCTCTAGAGTTCCATAAACGACTTCAGATGTAATAAAAGCTACTGAGCTCCATGAACTTGACCTCAGACCTGATAAAGAGCTACAGAACTCCATGACATTGGCCTCAGACCCAATAAAGGCTACAGAACTCCATGAACTTGACCTCAGACCCAATAAAGGCTACAGAACTCCATGAACTTGACCTCAGCCTTGATAAAGGCTCTAGTGTCCCATGAACTTGACCTCAGATCCAATAAAAGCTACTGAACTCCATGAACTTGGCCTCAGACCTGATAAAGGCTACAGAACTCCATGAACTTGACCTCAGACCATCCTCTCCCTTCCCCAATCCTCAGATACCCTCATTACAATTCATTAATAGGTCACTCTGCAAACCCCACCTGTAACCCCCAGGCTCCCCATGGTAAGGCCTTCCCACACTCAGAATCACCCTCAAACCATGCAGGTGTTTGAGACAGTGGAGAGGCTGGGTGAGGCGGTGAGGACCGAGCTGACCACCCTCGAGGAAGTGCTCACGCCACGCACGGAGCTGGTGGCCGCAGCCCGGGGGGCCAGGCGGCAGGTGGAGGCAGTGGCCCACCAGTTCCTGGGGCTGGCCTTCTGGCAGGGCGTGCCCCTCAGCCCCCTGCAAGTGGCTGAAGACGTGTCCTTTGTGGAGGAGTACAGGTGAGTGGAGTGGTGGCCCACCAGTTCAGTTCTCATCTGCTATTTGCAAGGTCGGAGGTTTGAACCAGCTGGGTTCTCATTGGGCATGAACTCGGATTCTGACTGGATGTGGATGTGAGTTCTGACAGGTCGTAATGTCAGTTTCTAATGAATGTAGACTCGGGTTCTGATGGTCTTGGACTCGGGTTCTGAGAGGCATGGGCTCGGGTTCTGATGAACATGAACTCTGGTTCTGATGGACGTGGACTCAGGTTCTGATAGGCCTGGACTCAGTTTCTGATTTGGTGTGGTCTCGAGTTCTGATGATGGGCATGAACTCTGGGTCTGATGGGTGTGGTCTTGGGTTCTGATGGCCATGGACTCAGGTTCTGATGGGCTTGGAGTTGGGTTCTGATGAGCATGGTCTTGAGTTTTGATGGGTGTGGTCTTGGGTTCTGACTGAGCATGGACTCAGGTTCTGATGCACATGCACTCAGGTACTGATAGACATGGACTCAGGTTCTGACTAGGAGTGGACTCGAGTCTGGTGGGGGTGGACTTAGGTTCTGATGGACATGGACTCAGGTTCTCACCAGGAGTGGACTCAGGTTCTGATGGGCGTGGACTCGAGTCTCATGGGGGTGGACTCAGGTTCTGAGCTGGGGAGGGCCCTGGGTCTGGGATGGACAGATCCGGGCCATGAACCAGGAGGTGCATCCCCAGGCTTGCTGGTCTGAGTTATGCCCGTGTTCGAGCTGGTACCTCAGACGTGTCCCTGTCCCTGTCCCCTCCCCAGGTGGCTGGCTTATGTCCTCTTTCTCCTCCTCGAGCTCCTGGTCTGCCTCTTCACCCTCCTGGGCCTGGCCAAGCAGAGCAAGTGGCTGGTGATTGTGTAAGTGCGGGCAGCCCCCACCTCCTGGCCGTCCAGGGTCCCACTCAGCATATCACGGGGGTGAGCTGCTCCCTGACGGGGCCCCTAGTCTCCTGTTCCCTGGCATGCCAAGATCCGCATGCAGGCAGGTCTCATGCACCCTCTCAGTTCCTCCTGGACCACACGGAGTTCGTCCTCGGCCCTGCAGACTGCAGTCCCTCCATGACACAAATGGATGGTTAACACACTTTACTGCTAGGTCTCAAGGGGGAGTTCACCCTCGGAAGAAAGGACTGAAACTCTCTGTACTTCTGATGATACCGGAATCTGGGAGAACGAGAAGGACCGTGCTGGGATTCGAACCCAGGTCTTCCATGTGGAGGCCCCGGGCCCTCCTGTTCTTCACCTGACGTGATGCTGACTCAGAGTGACCCCAGAACTGTGATGTCGATGAGAACATTCGTCCATACCATGGATCGCCGGACGCACAAACACACTTGAGCCAGAGTGCTTCCTTGAAGTGAGAATGGCCTACTTCCCTCTCATGCGCTTTGGACGCATTGCTGGGGAGACTGGTCCCTGAATGATGAAGGATGAGAGTTTAAGGGGATGGATTGACACGATGAAGCCGGAGCGGTGTCTCTGTTGCCCAGACAGGAGTTCTGAGTCAGCACAGCCAGCGTCGGGGCTCGTGGGGGCCCGGCAGCCCTGGACGGACAGCATGAGGGCCCGTGGGGGCCCGGCAGCCCTGTCCTCCACGGTGTTGTCAACGGCTGGTGTTTTGGAAGTAGTCTGTCAAAATTGTGCTAATGTGAAACCTGTACTTGGATCAAGAGGCAGTAGTCAGAACAGAGCAGGGTAACACTGCATGGTTCAAAATTGGGAAGGGCGTACGCCAGGGATGCATCCTGTCTCCATACCTTTTCAACATGTATGCAGAGCAGATTATCCGAGAGGCTGGGCTCTATGAGGAGAATTGTGGCATCAGGATTGGTGGAAGATCTATTAACAATCTGCGTTATGCAGATGACACAACCCTGCTTGCTGAAACTGAGGAGGACCTCATGCACTTGCTGCGAAGGGTCAAGGACTGCAGACTTCAGTATGGACTGAGGCTCAATGTCAAGAAGACAAAGATTCTCGCCACTGGACCAATTGGCAGTGTCAGGATGGATGACGAAGAGATTGAGAGTGTTCACAGCTTCAGTTTGCTCGGCTCTACAGTCAACACTCTTGGCACCAGCAGTCAGGAAATCAAAAAGCGTATCGCAATGGGAAAGTCTGCTGTTAGGGACCTCTCAAAGGTACTCAGGAGCAACAGTGTCTCTCTGGAGACTAAGGTGCGCCTGATACAGGCCATGGTCTTTGCAATCGCTTGTTATGCATCAGAGAGTTGGACAATGACTAGGGAGGACAGAAGGAGAGTGGATGCTTTTGAGCTGTGGTGCTGGAGAAGGGTACTGAATGTACCATGGACTGCCAGGAAAACAAACAGATTTATCTTGGAGAGGATTAAACCAAGCTACTCCTTGGAGGCAAGGATTCTGGGGCTTCGTCTGACATACTTTGGACATGTTGCCAGGAGGGACGGGTCCTTGGAGAGGGACATCATGCTTGGGAGGGTGGAGGGACAGCGCAGGAGGGGAAGATCCTCTATGAGATGGATCGATTCAGTGACTGGGGTATTTGGGATGAGTGTGTCAGAGGCAGTGCGGTTGGCGCAGGATAGAGCAGAGTTTAGGGCTGTTGTGCATAGGGTCGCTATGAGTTGGAAACGACTCGACGGCACATAACAACAACAACAACAACTGTCAAACCTTCCTTCTGAGGTGGACTTGAACCACGAACCTTTCCGTCAGCAGCTCAATGTATTAACCATCTGTGCCACGCACAGACTCCTGGAACAGACCCCCCCAGAGACTCATACCAGCCCCAGGATCGTCCACCTCCCAGAGTGGACTGGCCCGAGCTGGCCAAGCTTCGGGTGCCATCTTGCTCTGAGAAACCAAGGACTCTTACAAAATGGAAAGATGGGGAAACTGAGGCCCAGAGCCGGGCAGCCTCCTCCCAGAGTCACGGAGCAGGACAGGGCCAAGCTGGGCAGCTGTCCAGGCTGCCCGCTTGCCAGCCTGGGCCCTTCCGGCAGCCTCTTGCTCGCCGCCACCCCGCGGGCCTCCCTGGGCAGGGGCCAGATGTTAAGTCTGACGTCAACAGCCAGTTCCTCTGGCCCTAATTCCAATCCTCCAGGCTGCAGAGGTGGGGGTGCTGTAACAGGATTTGGGGTGGGGGAAGGGAAGGGACAGATTAAGAACCCAGAGCCCACCCTGTCCATCTCCCGCCCCCCACTGTCTCCACTGTAGGATGACCGTGATGAGCCTGGTGGCTCTTGTCCTAAGCTGGGGCTCCATGGGCCTGGAGGCAGCCGCCGCCATGGTGAGTGCTGGTTGCCAGGCTCCTGGGGGTCTGAAGGCCTAAATGTCCAGGTTTGAGGGAGGAGGGGCCCAGACCCTCAGGTCTGAGGGAAGAGGTACCTGGACCCCTGGTCTGAGGGAAGAGGGACCTGAACCCTCTGGTCTGAGGGAGGAGGGGCCCAGACCCTCAGGTCTGAGGGAAGAGGGACCTG